AAGGTGTAGAATTTGACAGAAATGGCTACGAATCGAAAGTTTCATGAAAACTTTGAAGTTCATTTTCAACGAAGTGTATCGAACGTTGGATTCAGATTACAAAACAGGCAAACCAACGTGGGAAACCATAAAAAACGACATTTTGTCTCCACATCCAAATAGACTTGAACACATTTCCTGAGGCCAAACCAAGGATAGAGGTTGGCGGACCTACTAAGCTGGTATTCGGGGTCCCGAGCAGCCTGGGGCCTTGCAGTGTTTGGCTGGGCACTGCCCTCCTTCCTCCTAGCAAGCATTTTGTGAGAGTAACTTTACGACGGCCTTCTACGCGGACGACATCAGAGGAATCTGCCACGGAAACATGGTGCACGGTTCGAGCTCAATGAGGTCCTCGACAGATTCTGGACCATTACGACGTTATCTGGAACGCTGGTCGGAAGGGGTCTTGCACGTTTACATACGGCTACTCTCTATAGGAAACTGTCTATTACTTCATTGAAGAAATTAGTTGGCAGTTCCAGCCTGAGGAGTTATCGTACATTTCCCTGAGCTCACGGGTTGGCAGATGACGTCATATTTTGAAGAAGGTGAGTAATAATTTGCTGGAGGGAGGGAGTAATTTAGAAGTAGATATTTGACAACGAAGAAGAAGAAAAAATAAAAACGAAATAAGAACACACTTCAAATAATCGTAGATGGTACCGTTGTACTGTGTCATGGTCAACCGTTCGTCGAGATCAATGAACGCTATCCAACGAGAATGCCGTCGAGCTCGTAGCAGGCATTCCTTAAATGAATCAAATGGTCGACAGACGTATGACTGGATGGGATCCCAGGAAACCTTCACATTTTTTGCTCAAGTGAGTTAAGTAATAGTGATGAAACGTGCGGAGGTAGGGGTAGTGAGAGAACACGCATGGACACCAGACCCAGTCCGTACAGGCCACCTCAGCTTTCGTTACGTTGCTGATTGGTTGCAGATTTTTCCGTAAGAATTAAATAGTGACCATGGAATAAGAATTCCACAAACTTGCAATTCAAGTACAGCAGTTTCTCCTGATTTTTGCCCACTGGCCAGCTTCTGTGCCGTGTATCATCGCAGGCCTTAGCACTATTCGGTACACCTTCCCATTGAGCGTTCTGGAGCATCTGCGGTCGTAGAGGATTTTAATGGACTCCCTTCATTCCATTGATCAGTATCTCTTCTACCTCGTCCACGTTACGCGATCGAGCCCTTCTCGGCGGAGATCGATCACGCGGTATCAAATGTCATGTATTCACACAACTTCCTTACCATGGCCACCTACGATCGGTTTAGTGCATCTTCCACTATGGCGTCCTCCGTCGGGTTCTCGCCTTGATTTTCCTGTGGAGATCCGTGGCAATGTCTCTCGAGCCCTTGGCTGCGAAGCCATTCCTGCAGAAGAAAGCACCTTGATATCGCGACCCCCTGAGAATGATCTTCTCATGAGCACATAGTCGACTTCAGTTTGCTCCAGTCCACTGCTATGCGTTACCTTTCGGTTCTCTCTTTCTGCTAAGAACGTGCTGCTGACGCCAGATCCTAGACTTTAAGACCAGTCAACCCTCTCCCTCGGCGTTCCTCAATCCTATTCCTCTACCTCCGTGCACCCTTTCTAGGCCCCTTCTGTCACTGCCTGACGTTGACATTCAGATCACCTGCTATGGTAGTGGCCGCTTTCCTGGATCCATGCCATGGTATCGTCAACATTCCAGAATGAAATCATTTTTTTTCATATTTGGTGTGACATACGGTGAATGCATGAACAGCTATTCTGCCCAGAATCCTTCCTGTCCAACATGATAATCATAATTCGATCACTTATCCTGCTCATAGCACAGACGGGTGCCTTGAGGGACTCAATTACCGCTATGGCGGCTACCCCTGCCCTTTTAAGAGCTTGGGCAACTGAGCTCGAAACGATCTGATC